GTGGTAGGTTATACTCAAGAAAAATCCTGATGGCTCGATTCGTCGTTACAAGGAACACTTTGTTGCTAAAGGTTTCTCACAAATTCCTGGATATGACTTTAGAGACATGTTTAGCCCTGTGGTTAAATTCACCACCTTGAATATTACTTTCACTAGCAGTAACTAATAACTGGGCTCTACAACAAGTAGATGTAAACAATGTATTTTTGAATGGTGATCTTCAGGAGGTGGTCTTCATGCAACATCCACCAAGTTTTGAACAAGTTGCTCTTGATGGAAGTAAGCTGGTGTGTCGATTTAAAAAGGCACTCTATGGGTCACAACAGGCACCTAGAAGTTGGCATACCAAGCTTCGAGATAGTTTGTTGGGTATTAGTTTTAAAGAGTCACGAGCTGATATGTATTTGTTTATCAAGAAGAATGGTATTTACTACATATATATGCTGGTATATGTTGATGATATAATCATTACAGGTCATTCGAGTGTCGAGATAGATGAAGTAGTTCGATTGCTCAGTGATAGATTTTCACTGAAGGATCTCGGTCAACTTTCATATTTCCTGGGAATTGAAGTCAAACGAACCATTGAGTGTCTTGTTCTGTCACAAAAGAAGTTTATCATGGAGCTCTTGGAGAAAGCTAACATGTTGAAAGCTTCTCCTACACCAACTCCCATGGTAGCAGCCACCAAGTTGCATTGTGATGATGGGGAACTCATTGCTGATGCACACAACTATCGCAACATTGTTGGAGGGTTGCTTTATGTGTGCCACACAAGGCCTGATATTGCGCTTTTTGTAAACAAAGTTGCACAAAATATGCATACACCACAATAGTTGAATGTGGTTGCAGTCAAACGAATTTTGGTGGAACTAGAGTAAAGGTTACTTCTTTTACAGATGTTGATTGGGGAGGTAACCTTGATGACAGAAGATCGATGTCTGGGCATAGTGTTTTTGTTGGCAACAATTAGGTTGCTTGGAGCTCGAAGAAAAAATATATATATATATATCTCTACAATGGAGGCTTAATACAAGAGTGTTGCTTACACTACCATAAATGTGGTCTAGATTAGAGCCTTGCTTGTAGAGCTTGGTATCTTTCAGAAAGAAGAACCAATCATATGGTGCGACAACACTAGTGTTGTGGCTATAAGCGCGAACCCTGTCTACCATGCTCATACCAAGAACTTTGATCTTGACATACATTTTGTTCGAGAGAAAGTTGCAGCAAAACAAATGCGTGTCACTTATATGCTTGCAACTCATCAGATTGTTGATGGCATGACCAAGCCATTGGCTCGAAATGCCTTTGAATAATTTCGTGAAAAACTGTGAGTGAAGTTGTGTTGAAGAGCAGGAGAGGAGAGAAAGTATGAAGAATGATGAAGTAAGCTTGAAGTAGGCTAGTTGCAGTTATAGTTGATCACTGCTCATGGAATGCTGCAATTAGGCTGTTAGTTGGTTAAGGTTGTTAACAACCATGTAAACGTATGAATGTATGAATGTTATATAATGCATGTAAAAGGAAGTGTTAATGAATAAGAAAGAAAGCATTCTTTTCTGGTTTTGTTGTTGTTGAAACATGAAAAAGAAAAAACATACTAATTATACTTAATTTTTTTCCTCTCATTAAGTTTTGAAAAAAATAATGTTAATAAATTTTTTCATTGATATGAAAAATCGGAAAAGAGATTTGGTGAATTGATAGTGGGAATTTGGAAAGACCAAAATTAAAGAGTTCAATTGATTTTTTTTTTGAATTTTGAAAAAGAAATATTAAATTAGAATTTTATGAAAGAATAGTTTATTAACGTTAATATAAAATTCAATAAAGATAATTGACACCTTAATAAATTCATGGGCCCCATAATTTTATTGAGTAAATTATGTATTTAGTACCTAAATTACCAGTTTTTGATATGTTTTAATACTTAAACTTTTAATTTTTTTCAAAATCATACGTAAAGTTTAGTTTTTGTTTCATTTTAGTATCCGCCGTTAAAAACTTTATTTTTTTATTTCATTTTAGTATCCATTCAAAATTTAACATTAAGTTTTTTTTTTAAATTTTAGGTACTAAAACAAACCAAAATTGATAGTTATGTACTAAATGCATTAAGTATTTAACGACGGGTACTAAAATGAAATTAAAACTAAAAGTTATATATGATTTTGAAAAAAAATAAAAAATTAGGTACTAAAACGGATCAAAACTGATAGTATAGGTACTAAATACATAAATTACTCTATTTTATTTTATAATCTTTTAATATATTATCAGAAAAAATAAAAAAATATTATATTGAAAAAAAATATTTTGTGGACCCTAGACGGGTGCCCTCCTGCCTGGCACAGGGCCGGCCCTGAGAAAGGCGTTATCAAAATTATATTTGTCAAATAGAATTGTGCGTTATGAAAAAAATTGGAACAACTATGCGTTACGGCAATTATAATGACAATTTTAACTAGGAAGCTGCATTTAAAGTAATGACTTTTTTTCCTTATCGTTCGGAAAAAGGCATACCAATGATAGAATATATGTCTATCTTCAAAGATTTTTTTCTCGAATTTAGAGATCATAGAAGTTAATTATGCTACATAAGATTTAGAGTTTATTTTGTTTTATATGTTACCCTTCTTATTCAACATTTACAAATATAATTTTTTTATAGGCGTAAATCTCACACTTGAATTATTTTTTAAAAAAAATATTAAACCTATTTTATGTATCTAATTTAATATTTAAATTTTTAACTATGATCATACATATATATCAAATTAACGCATTTTATGACCCAATTAAATTTTCATAATTCCCCTAGAGCAAATTGAAATCATAAAGATCCTAGATGATATGAGTTATGGAAATGAATTTACTTTGAATTAAGGAAGAAAGTCCCCATAAAACATATCTTTTAATCGAATCTTCAAATTGAAATCATAAAGATCCTAGATGATATGATTTGCGAAACAACGGTCATGAACCAATTTGTCCACACATTGAATTCAGAAAGTTCGTATATATATATATATATATATAATCAAATTCGTGGTCCTATTACTCAGCAACGCAGGAAGGCAGGAACAGCTGAGTCTTTTTCGAGTTTCAAGATATTTGTTCAACCATTAAAACAAATCACATTTTTTATCAAATAAGTTTCAACGACTAAATTAACGACTTTTTGGCGTATATTAAAAATATTTTCAACCACTTTAACTTACCATATTGACAATATAATAATTTAAGAAATTTTATCTAATATCTAAATTAACAAAAACATTGATAAGATTATAATCTTAATAATAATATATTCGTATTACATTGTCGTGTAATGTGATTATATATATAAAAATATTGTGTCGTGGGTTGACAAAATTAGTAGTAAAATGCTTGAAAAGGAAAAATTTTGAGAGTCATAGTTTGTGGCCTGGTAAGGTGGTAGATGTCACGAGACATTGACGCAGCCCAGACCAGTGCGGTGCTGCTATCTTTTTGTTATTTTTTGAGCGTCTGCGCCAACGCGTCGTAAAAGCCACGGCTGCACATCAGGACTGGGACCATTTTTACACCTTTTGTTAATCCACCCGCGGCGGGGTTTTGGTGCTTGTCAAATTTGGACCATCCAGAATTTTTATTGCCTAATAAATTTACATACTATTAATATTTATGCGTTTGTTAAATAATATTTCATAAACAAAAAATTAATTAATTATCAATTAAAATTTTGATCAATTTATAATCTATTCAAAATGTATTGAAGATTTTAGTTTGAAATCTAATTCATTTCTTTTATTGCTAATCATTATAATGTGCATATGTAGAATTCACTTATTAATCACGTAAACTATATTTATGAATATGTTAAATGGTGGTTAAATTTATATTGAGTAATAATAAAATCACATCATCATTTTTATTGGTTTATTAAAAAAAATTAGACTACACGAATTAAATGATTTTAATGGTAAAATAATTATTGTTATTTATTGAAGTCACGAGTTTTAGCACCGTGAATTTCGAGGATACGACGTTCAATGTCAAACAATTGAGAGTCATATTTAAACAAATATTACTTTGTACTTACTACAAATCGATAAAATAACTAAATTCATACCTCAAAATTTCCAAAATCATCATTGCTATGGAAAGGTAGAGATAAAACTTATGGATACATATCCTAATTTATATGATAAATTAGTTATATATTAGAAAATTAATATAAATACATAGCATTTCAGAAAATAACATAAATATGCAGTGATACAGTCAGAAGATTTAAATTATTATGTCAAAATTTTAAAAAACGAGAATAAAAATAATTTTAGAATTAGAGAAAAATTATTTTTATAATTTTATATAATTATATATTAAAGTTTTTGATGTGGATATTAGAAAACGAGGAACTGCTATTGAATAATCAGATAATTTGCTTTTCTGGAATTCTTGTTTGACAAGGCAAACAAGAATAATCATATCATTTTCTTTTCTGCTATTGAATAATCATATATTAAAGTGTATGGTTTGATAAATTGGCTTTATTTCTTTTATTTTTCAACTTTCACATTGGGTCCATTCGATTTTCTCATCGGAGCAAAAGTCTTTAGAAAATTTCAAAGTAATATGGTAGGACTTGAATTATATTATTATTATTATGCTAAAATGTTGTTGCTGCACCTAAATTTTGGTGAACGGAAAATGGCAAACGTCAAAGCCAAGACCAAACGTTATTGAATTTTTCTGATTTTCTATCTCCATGTGACGCTTAATTTCATTAAGACATAAAGAAGCAAAAAGTAACTCTGGTAGGAAACATACAACGTTGCTGAGTCATAAGTTTTAAGCCTAACTAAAGAGAAAACATATACAATTGAAAACAGTCCTCCTTTTATATTATGTATATAAAAGCCATTGGGCTGTAACATTATTTCTTGTGCCAGCCATTGGTTTCTTCTTTCTTCTTCTGTTTTGGTTCATTGGATTCTTTTGTTCCGTTTTATTCTGAGCCTGGTAACTCCTATTTCCTTCACCCGTTCTCGAACAATAAATTATAAGTTATGTTCCTCTCGCATGTTTTACAGTTGGACATAATGGAGAAGGTGGCGAACAGGAGGCGGCTTGTTGTATGGGTGATAATGATGATCAACTTATCTCTTTTCCTTTCTGCCTGCTCTGATGGAACTCCGGCCAGGTTCTTCCTTATGCTTTCTGGATGTTAGTTTCTGTGTATGGAAAACGGAAAGAGAGAGAGAGTAAATATTTAAAAATTTTAAAAGTACGACCATTTCTACCAACCCTTCGGGTCTATCCCTGCATGGATGTACATATCCTATGGCCGTTGCTTTATGGTCTATCCCTTTGGGTCTCATCTTTCCATTGATTTTGGGCCTATTTGTTTAGAGCAACAATTTAGGGGTGTGCAAAATTACCCTATACGGTTTACTTGACCCGCCGATCTAGACCTAAAAAATTTGGTCATTTTCTAAAAAAAAAATTATTTGGCCGGTCAGGACCCGACATTTCTCAAGTCAGGTCCGAGTCATAAAATTGAAGTTTTTCGGGTACCCGTTTACCCGAGTACCCAGTTATATATATATAATATAATGGATTATTTATATTATGGATTATTAGATTTTGTATTTCGAATTTTTAAATTTCATGTTCGATGTTGGAGTATGTAAATCGAAGTTTCGAATATTTAAATTTGTGTGTATATTTTTTAAAATTAATAATTTGAAAATGAAAAAAAAAACGAGTATCTGATACCCGAAATACAGGTACCCGCAAAATTTGGGTACCCAATTATCGTGTACCCATAATATCCGAGTAAGAATACGGGCCGAGAAATTACCGACTCAGATGTTACGGATACCAAAAAACCTGAGTATCCGGATTTGCACACCCCCTACGCAACATAGCATTTTCTCACTTTAACCTAAATCACAGTGTGTGGTTAAATTCCGACCCGCAACGGCGACACCATTATAAATTCTTATTAGAGTTGGTATCTCAACGACTCCTCGTCAACAAAATTTTCAGGGTTATCTTAAGGGATTGGGATAAGCGTTAGATATTGATAAAGATGTATGCGGTTTTATTTTAACATAATATTAAAATTCACTCTTAAGTTTTTTTTAAAAAATTCACTAACATTTGATAACATAATTATTTTAATCTTATATACTTTAATCATTTTAACTCTTAATATTTCATTTTGAGATAAAATATTTTTGATTTGATAGAAAATAATTAGTTAACTACCAGTCAACATATGTTGTTGATATAGGACTATAATGCGTCCGAAGTTATGATGTGGCACATGACACATGTGACGTGTCTCATGTTACGTGTTAGAAAATGATGATCTATCATATTCATTAGTCAAAATTGATAACATGACATTTGTCGAAAGTGATAGTGCGAACTAACTATATTTATTTCATCAGTGGTCCTTTTGTCTTAAAATAAAATGTTAGAAGTTAAAATATAAAAAAGATAAAAGTTAAAATCATTATTCATTTATTTTTAAATTGTACTTTTATTTTAAACTTTTTTTTATGTAAGAGGATTCCTCATATTATTGGATCTTTGAAATGCAGAAAACTCCTAAAGCATACCGACAGCAGTAACACTCATGTCCGGTTACAATTAAGTGATAGCCTAGTAAGAACCTAATCCCCTTCTTATGCAGTTGTTATAATATTTCTTCATATTATTAATTAGCTGAGAAATTTTTTCAGGTGGTTATTGACAATGAGCTTGTTGAAGTCACTATCCAAAATCCAACTGGTCATCTGATAGGACTTAAATATAAAGAGATGCAAAATGTGCTCGAAAGTAGAAACCACAACCACAATAAAGGGTATACAAACCGTGACAGGTTTTAAATAACATTATTTTTAACGTTGGTATTTGCCGCAATATTAATTATCACCTCATATTTTCTAGGTACTGGGACATTGTGTGGGATGAAGATGCCTATGACAAGTAAGTTGATCGACTTAAGTGATTTAATGAATTTATCTTACATTTGTTTTGACTGTTTAATGTTCCATGACAGACTGGAAACCGAACATGTTGATGTCATAACACAAACTGATGATTTAGTAGAGCTTTCCTTCACCAAAAAATGGAACCATGGCAAGACACTTCCTTTAAACATACAAAAAAGGTAAGCAATCCAAGTTTACAAAAATAGGACAAGTTTTTGATGATCCTTTATGCTTTATTTGTAACATTTCTTCCAGGTTCATAGTCCGACGCGGCATTCCGGGGGTCTACATGTATGGCGTTTTCGACCGCGAGGAAGATTTTCCGGGTGCTCAAATGTACCAAATAAGGATTGCTTTCAAGCTCAAGGAAGACAAGTAACAATTCAAAGATGAATCCTTGATAATGTACCAAATGTTTATTTTTTTCTGCTAGGAAAACTAATTGTTATGCCAATGTTTCATGTGATGTTTCGAATCAGGTTTCGGTTTGTGGCCGTATCGGATATGATACAGAGGATCATGCCTCGGAGTGAGGATCGGGACGAACATCGCAGTAAGACTCTTGACTTCAAAGAAGCTGTTGTATTGACCAATCCATCCAATCCAAGCCTTAAAGGAGAGGTTGATGACAAGTACCAATACTCTACTGAGAACAAAGATAACAAGCTTCACGGTTGGATATCTGATGACGATGGTGTCGGTTTTTGGATAATCACCCCGAGCAACGAGTTCCGAACTGGTGGCCCGCACAAACAGGACCTCACTTCTCATGTTGGTCCGACTGCACTTTCGGTAAGTCTACTTATAAGCCAACGCATTCTTGTAGTGTATGATCTGATTGGACTTATGTTTTCTTTTTTTGATGTAGATGTTTGTCAGTACACATTATACCGGGACCGAAATAGACACATTCTATAAGCAAGGAGAGGCCTGGAAAAAGGTTTTTGGTCCGGTTTTAATCTACCTTAATTCCGCTCCTTCAAACGATGACCACCGCAACATCCTCTGGAATGACGCTAAAAGACAGGTTTTTATCTCTCTCAACCAGGGATTTAAATTACCGTTATGGTTGTATTTTCGGTTGCGTTTATCGTGATTGCAATAATAGCGGGTGCTATTCATCATGTTGACATGTATTTTCTTTTTTGGTTCAATTAGTTGAGTGATGAAATCGAAAGTTGGCCTTACAATTTCACTGGATCAGAAGATTTTCCTCACTCTGAACAACGAGGACAAGTTAATGGGCAATTGTTGGTGCAAGATCGGTATGTGTTTAGCTCTTCTATTTTGTCACACTTCATCTAATTCAACTGAGTGTTGCATAATGCTTATCTTACTTCAATCTTGTTGGTGTTTAGGTATATGGTTAGGCCATTAATGCAGGCGAAATCTGCCTTTGTGGGGTTGGCTGCCCATGGAGACGCAGGTTCATGGCAAACAGAAGGAAAGGGCTACCAATTCTGGACTCAAACTGACAATATTGGTCATTTCAGTATAAAAAATGTCCGACCAGGGAATTACAGTTTCTACGCCTGGGTCCCTGGTTTCATTGGAGACTACAAATTAGACCTCAACATCATCATCCATCCTGGTAAAATTTATATATTATTGGCCTCATGGTCTTGCCTTTCTTTTCCCATTTCAACAACCTTTCATAGGAAAATTCATCCTTAAACAATGTCTGAATACAGGAAATAAGATCGAGTTGGGTACACTTATATATGATCCTCCAAGAAATGGCCCTACATTGTGGGAAATCGGAGTTCCGGACAGGTCGGCCGCCGAGTTCTTCATACCGGAACCGTACCCACAGTTTATGAACTCAATTACGAAAGATGACACTGACAAGTAACCATGGTCAAAAACCCTTTTTCCTAAGGTTTCAACACAATGTTCATCAATTTACTGTTAATGTTGCTACAATGAACAGATTCAGACAATACGGATTGTGGGACCGGTACTCGGATATTTATCGTGAAGGTGATCTCGTCTACACTGTGGGCACTAGCAATTATTCGAGGGATTGGTTCTTTGCTCATGTTCCTAGGTAACATGTTCAGCTCACTAATTCTGCAACATCCTCCTATGTCGTTCGTGATTTTTCTTGTTTTAATTGTCTGGTTTTTCAATTACAGGAAAACAGGGAACAATACGAACCGGCCTACGACATGGCAAATCAAGTACAATCTCCAAGATGTAAACGAGAATGGAACTTACACTCTCCAATTGGCATTAGCAGCAGCTTCTTTTGCTGAAGTACAGGTATATAACTATAAAAATCTCATCTCACATCCATCATTTTATCAGTGATATGTTTACTGATGAATTTTCTACGGATGCATTCATAGGTTAGATTCAACGATCCGAATGCCGTTCGACCTTATTTCACTACGAAAAGAATCGGTAACGATAACGCTGTAGCAAGGCATGGAATTCATGGACTGTACAGATTGTATAATATTAACGTACCAGGATATATATTTCATAAAGGGGACAACACCATATATCTGACTCAGACAAGAAGCCTCAACTCTTTCGTAGCTGTTATGTACGACTACATTCGATTAGAAGGGCCAAACAGTTTAGTCAAATAGCTATAATATTCAACTAGAATTCGGAAGAAATACTGTAATTCAAGCCTGATTCTGGCTTACATTCATTGATTGTTAAATTAGTTCATTTATTCAATGACTAATTTATTTATTTTAACTGTAATCTATTACATGAAGTGTAAAATGAAAATATAAGGGGACATACTGCTTTTCCTCTTATTTCTACTGGTTCGTTGTAGACAAAGGAAATTTGGGACAGAATTCGGTTGCAAGGGCAGAAAGTTCCTTGGCATCGTCTCATTTGGTATCCTATGCATATTCCTAAACATAGCTTAATCACTTGGATGGCCATTTTGAACAGGTTACCAATCAAAGATCGGTTACACAGAATGGGAGTTCCCACATATGGTCTCTGTGTTAATTGCAATTTATACCAAGAAACTAGAGACCATCTCTTTTTCAACTGCTCCATGGCTGTTCGTCTTTGGAAATCCATCTTAAACTTGAACAGAATTAATCATAATTTTTTGACATGGGAAGATATGGTTAATCGTGTTAGCTTAACTTGAAAGGGAAAGTTCTTACCACCATCTTGAAAATCTCGTGGAATGCGTTCATCTATTACTTGTGGCATGAACGAAATCAGAGAATATTTCGGGGTCGTTTTCGAGCGGTTGATGCAATTCTTAAAGACGTAATTGATACTGTTGGTATCCGACTTAGGGACAAAGCTATTAACAAACTAGATATTATTAACTTTAACCTTTGTAATGCTTAGGGTATAATCTAACCAATTATTGGTGTGTATTTAGGCTTTTGTTATTTTGTTGATTGATTATTGGTTGTAGTTTGATTGTGTTTTTGGGTAATAAAATTTTAAATTATCTAAAATATATATATATATATAAGGGGGACTGGTGTTGCCAGTTTCTATGTCTAAAAAGAGGGTACGAGCTTTATTTAAATGTAAAAGAGCGTCTTGTTTATTATTTTATTTTGTAAGCTCACATACTTTTTATTTTATATGGATAATTAGTTGCATAAAAGGATGCACACTTTTGTTTTTTTTAATAAAATTCACATACTTTTTGGGTTAATAGATTGTCAAATATAGGATAGAGATAGGTGGTGAGTGTAGGAAGGGTAGTACATGAATGTATATCTGAAGTTCCATTTAGGGTTAATAGATTGACATTTTGTATGTGTAGTTCTGGGAGATGGACAAGACACAAAGGAGATAAGAGTAGCACCTCCTCTGACAAAAACCATATAGGCTTCCTTTACATTACAGTAATCAAACCTACATTTAGTCCCTCTTGTTTTAGTGCATCTCTTTTGTCTTAATTGTTACCATGAATTAGACTACTGCCAACGAAAATTTCTCCATTATTTCGCAAATCATTAATTAACCATGCATCAAAGATGTAAGCACATCACCTCTATTTATAAATTTAGTCCTCAAAAATCCCATGTCTTCTTTTTTATTTAAGTATTAAAAAAACTATATTCATAAAATTAGGGTTGTAAATAAGTCAAGTTGAGTTTAAGTATTGTTAAACTCTATTTGATTTTAAAAAAGTTAGAGTTGAGTTTGACTCGACTCGAAAGTTCTCGAGCTTAAAATTGTCAAGTTTGACTCGAACTTGAAAAAAAAAATGAAGCTCGACCCAAGCTTAAGAAAACTTGAAACATTTGTAGTTTTAGTTTGATTGAAGCTCAAACTTAAACTCGGTTCAAGCTCAAACCTGAACATTAAAATCTTATATTACATTTAAAAAAACAACATTTAAAAGTTAACATAATTAACAATTTAATTTAATTTAAAAAATTAAAAGTTAATATATTATTTTTTGAATTGCTCGAAATTTTTTTGAGTTGAATATTAATTAATTTACTTTAGCTCGTTAAGAATTCGAACATAATTCAAACTCGAATCCTACTCCATTCAAATTAAATATTAATTGAATTTTAACTTAATCAAACTCAAATAATTTATAATTTGTTTGATTTCATTTACAACCTAATAAAACCTATCTTTATTTAGAGATCAATTTCAAGGGAAATGATCACGTGCTGCGCTTTAATATACGGTTAAAAAAAAGCGCTATCGATTTTGTTATTATTTAAACAAAAAAGTCGATAAAAAATTATCGGAAACAATATTATTTTTACCGGTTTTGTTATTATTGGACGTTTTATCGGGTTTGTTAACAAAATCGGTAAATCGCTACCGGTTTTGTTATTGTTGGGCACTTTACCGAAAATATTAAAAAGTCTTGATGTTTTAGGTAGAAATAATAATGTTTTAGGTAATTTTTACCCATTTTGTTATTTAATAACAAAACCAGTAACACCTTTTTAGCCGTATATTAATAGTGTCACACTGTAGAACTTTCTCAATTTCAACTTTAAATATAATAACATTTTGAAGAAAAAATCCTAAGCAGGTCTTTATCCATTCTGTCATAATCATTTTTTTTGAAAAATAACTAAATTTTATTTTAAAAGATGTTTTTAGGTATTCGACCTACCCAACTCAAAGGTCGATGACGGCTCTTTTCCATTTTATTCAAATTAATTCCAAATCAAAGCTGTTATAACCATTTTTTGAAAAATAATTAAATATTATTTAGAAAATGATTATGACTCATTATTTTTAGTATCTAGTTGTGTATCTCTTGGCATTCTTCCAAATGATTCAGATATCATGTATAGTTTCTTTTTCTCATTTCCTTTCCCTTTGTCTTTAGTGTAACTTTATTTATTCCAATTTTCACTATATCAAACCTCAAAGATTAAACCATAGCATATATATATATATATAAAGCTCTTTGATGAATATTATAAGTTCCTGGTGCATTCTATCTAACCCATGCATGAAACCAATCAATTGAGTATCAGTATTGGCTCTGCAAAAGTAAACTGAGATAAACCCACAATTTCTTTGTCTTTTCCTTCACCTTCTTTCCTTGTTCTTATTCTGCTGTATTTCCATGATGTCTCCAGCAAAACCAGGTAGTTCTAAAGAAGAAACTCAAAAGAGTGGCAACAGAAAAACAAGTTCATCAAGGACACAAGAGCAAACCCTAAAGTGTCCCAGATGTGAATCTCCCAACATAAAGTTTTGTTACTTCAACAACTACAGTCTCTCTCAGCCCAGGCATTTCTGCAAGACTTGTAGGAGGTACTGGACTAAAGGTGGTTCCCTGCGTAACGTGCCCATAGGCGGTGGTAGCCGGAAGAACAAGAAGATGAAACCGTCTTCAAGGCTGTCAGGTGAGTCCAGAGCCTCCGCTTCAGCTTCAGAAATGGGTGGATTGAAGTTCCTTCATGAGCTTTCTCCTGCCGTGGATTTTCAGCTCGGTGGGTTGTCGTTTCCTAGGTTTAACCCTTCACCAGCAACTGGTATTTACAACCAGTTTGTTTCATTTGGAGATGGGAATAGTCCTTCTTTATGTCTTGATCCATCGGGAAGCTCGAGTTCTTTCATGGGGTTTAGTAATTATCCCAACTGTGACCTTAGTTGTGCAATTCAGGAGGTGGAATCTTCGTTGAATGTTAACAGTAGTCTTGCTTCTTCAATCGAGTTTTTAAGTTCCATAAACCAATATTTACACTGGAAGTTGCAGCAGCAAAGATTAGCTATGCTCTTTTATGGTGAGAATCAAAAGGAAAATAGCAGCACCACTGCTTATTCAGCTCCGGTACTCGATGAGAACCAAGCACAAAAGCCATTGCCCATTTTGTTCCAGAATATGGAGGTTTCAAAAGCTGAAAACATTTCGGCCGCTGGGACTCCAAGGAAAGACACAAGCAATGAATGGTTCTTGGGGAATTCTTATGCTGCACCAGTAACTCAAACTCCCACCAATAGCGGGAATGGCAATGATAATACAAGCTGCAACTGGAACGGGGTTCAACCGTGGAATGATCTGCATCAGTACAGCACGTTGCTCTAAAAACGTGAATGATACATGAAGGCAACAAAAGGAAGAAAACTAATATATTTTCTACAAAAAGAACCCATTTAGTTAATCATCTGTTTAATATCTTTCATTGGGTTCTTTCAGTTATCAACATGTAAAAGAGTGAGATTTTGGGGTTTTTTTTTACCGTCATTCACTTAATCACTATATAATTTTCCATTTTATTTCCACTAATTGTTTGTGTTTGATATATGGTAAAATTAAATGTGTTTTTTAAAGACTCAATCTATCGATAGATATCGTTTGGGTGGGTAACTGTTTGCGTTGAAGACATTGATATGGCATTTGTTTGAGGCGCCTCAAATATCTTTTGTCTGTAATATTTTTTTTTAACACACGTTTACTAATATTTCCCGAAATAACATTATTTAGTTGATGTGGCACAAAGACGCATTTTCGGGGACACGTTTTCACGGGATTCTGATGACTCGGATGCCACATGTGGAAGGCACATCTCCGGAGACGCGCCTTCCATTAAATGTCATAAATGCTCCCATCCGTTTTTCCCCAACTACCCATCCTCCTCCCCTATATAAACTCCCTCAACCCTACCTTATTCTTCACACCAAAATCATCTTCTCTTCTCTTATATAACTCAAATTCTTCAACTATTTGAGTTTTAAATTTCTTATTAGTGGTAAAAAATTTATTTTTAAGTTAGTATTTTTTTAAATAGTTTTATATTTTATAGTAATATAATTATATAAATATTATTTTTATTAAAATAATATTTATATAATTATTATTTATTTAAATTTATTAATTAATTATATTTTGTGCTAATTATATTTTTTTTTGTCTACAGTTATAATGGAAAGTGAAATGTTGATGCGATTGGATGCTGACCATATCTCCAAACATTTATAATATTTATTATAAAAAATTAATTATTAATTTTAAAATATTATAATCATTCTACCTTCTAAGTAGAGAAAAAATGTTAAATTAAACAAATTAAAATGGTTGTCCCTTGTTCCCATATATAATGGGGTAAGGGGAGGTAAGATAGTAGGCTGCCCCCAACACCAGGTTGAGAGCAGCTTCCGTAGAAGACCTCCGAATTATGAAATGCCCTCGTGGGACTCGATCCCACGACCTCAAGGTTAAGAACATTGTGCTCTACCAACTGAGCTGGATAATCATCTCTTAAATTAAACAAATTAAAAGTAAGACTAAATTGATAAAATATGTAACTATTAAATATTAAATGTGTAATTATACTAATTTTATTAACTTATGCATCAATATTTTCTTTAAATATTGATAACAAATGACTAGATTGATAACATTTAAATAATTAATTGATAAAATTAATAGATTGATAATAAAAAAATAATAGATATATAACAATACGTGTAATATTATAATTTCATACATTTAAAAAATACATTCGATAATTCTTAAATTATAATCGAAACACTTTACATAACATATTAATTATTTATAATAATAATAAAAATAAAATATTTATTATTAAAACAAATACCAGTGTGGCATCTAACTCAGCAGAACCCAAATTGAAGGCGCGTTCCCGGGGATGCGCCTTCCACACGTAGCATCCGAGTCATCAGAATCTCGTGAAAGAGAGTCCCCGGAGATGCGTCTTTGCGCCACGTCAGCCGAAAGGGTGTTACTTCGAGAAATATTAGTTAACAAGTGTTAAAAAGAGAATATTACAGATAAAAAGTGTCAGTTAAGTAAATGCGCTTTGTTTGATCTTGAGTCAGTGTCCAAAACTCTCAGTGACTCGGTACTGTCTCACTCAATTTTCTCTCCCTACTAAATTAAGGAACCGAGTGAGACTCAGGCTGATCGAGGCCACTGAACAATGTCAGTTTGTCACCATATAAATGAAACACCACGAGCTGCTGGAGTAGCTGCTCCGCTCAAGCCCCCCTCTTCCTTGCCTTAGCCTAGCCTTGCAGTGTTTAAGCCTGTCACTGCTTTCCCTCTCTCGATGCCGAGAGCTCTTAAATAATTCGTTGCAGTGTCTGTGATTTGGTATGTAAAAAAAGGTGGTGGTTTCTAAGTGAATTCAAGTAAAGACTGTCCACTCTAAAGAAATTAAAGAAAGTGAATGGTTTTTGGCTTAGGTTTTTAGTAGGGTCTTTGAGATGGGTTCGAGCCCCTACTGATCGTCAGCATTGTTGGTGATTGGTCCGATCGAGAGACAGATAAAGCTTTGCTTCTGCCTTTTGCAGTTTGCCCCATCTGTTTTTTTCTCTTTACTTTTTCACCATTTTATATGAGAAAAATTATGGTTCCATATCTTGTAAAACATTACCCTAGCTAGTCTTAAGCCTCCTCCATTCATTCTGTAGACAAAAAATATTATTAATATTATTTATTATTATTATTAATATTTTTATTATTTTGCAGGGCCCAATTCCAACAACCTTCACTACTCCCAAAACATTTATAACCACCTTAACTTCAACTCCTCACCTCACGATTTCGCTTTGGACTTGGGGTCCTCGTTTTGGATATAAATAAATGCGTGCATAGATGATAACGTGGGAGGTGGCTCCGAGTATTGCTGCAAAAGCACATAGATAGATCATATCTTAAGAAATATTAGGAGAAAAGCAACACCAATAAACATTTGCATTGTAAATCTACGAATCTAGGAGCCGAAAAGCGCTCAATATTAGTTTCAGATGCAACATGCATTTTGGCTGCACAAATATATTGAAGAACATTGAGCTTAGTCTTCACCAATCTGAAAAGACTGTTATCTGAAATTTGGCCTACACGTTTCGTTTCTTTCAATTTAATCCCTTTTTAAAAAGTCAATTTATTTATTTATTTTTCTTTTTCCTTTTTAAATACTATATATTATTATTATATTTATGTTATTTACTTTAACATCTATATATATATATTAGAGAAAATAACCTCAGTGACCAAAAATCCCATATAATATACGATTTTAACCAACTTTTTCCGGATTTGCCAAAATGACCAACAAAATCGCAATGCGATCGCTAATTCGCAACGCGATCTCCATTATCGCAAATTCGCGTTGCATTTTCGCAATGCGATAGTTGAAAATCGCGTTGCGATGGTCTACAGTATCGTTGCGATTTTCCCAATTCGCAATGCGAATAAGTAAATCGCAACGCGAATTGGGAAAATCGCAATGCGAATAAGTAAATCGCAACGCGAATTGGGAAAACCGCAATGCGATACTGACTATCGCAATGCGATAATAAAAAATCGCAACGAGATACTTACTTTCGCAACGCGATACTGACTTTCGCAACGCGATAATACATAATCGCAATGCGATTTTCAAAGCGCCATTAGTATCCTGGCCAAGTATTTTATTTTTAAATTCCAAACATGAATATTAATATATTGGAACACTGAACTGTCCACAGTATATCCCGTAATCGCAACTCATAACCTAAAACCTAAAATCACAACTCAGTCCCATCTCCATCTCTCACTCTCTCACCCATCTCCGACGAAATTCGTCCCCATCTCCGGCGAAATCCGTCTATCTCCATCTCTCAGAGCCACCCTCACAATCAGAAATGGAAAATCAACCAAATCAACCAACGAGGGTTAGTTTTTTTAATTATTTTCTTTTTGAAATTTTTGCATTATTATTAGGTTTTTCATATTGAAATTGATGATAAGTTTACTGGTAATTTCAATAATAGATTAACCATTTCACTTAGATTGCTTATTAAATCAACCAAGAATCGCAACGCGAAATACAAATCGCAACGCGATTTTAGTTTCGCGTTGCGATTCTCTCGTTGCGATAGTCATTTTCGTGTTGCGATTTTCATTTTCAGAAACTATTCTTCTTCTGCAAATTGAAACTTGAATGAATTGCATTACTTCAACCAAAAAACAAAGACAAATACGAAATTCATAGTGTTGCATATTTAAGTTTGAAGAATAAACTACTACTATTTATGTTTATTGTTTTTGGTATATCTTCACAGTGTAGTTTTTGGTATATCTAATTTAGTATGTTTATTGTTTTTGTAGAACTTTTATTCGGCTCAATTGACCTTGAGAAATAAAGTCAGCCTGGCCAAAACAATTGCGTCGAAGCTTTCACCTGCACAAAGAAAAATGTTTGAGGATATATGCTTCGGGCCATGGCTGAAAGTACAACATCCCGGTGGAGATGCGATGTTGACACACCTGTTTCTTCAAACCATGACTAGCGATCTACCAGAGACTATACAACGTCGTGATGAAGAGATATGGTTTGATTTTCCACCGGCGTATACGTGTTTTGGGCGGGAGGAGTTTTGCTTAATCACCGGTCTACGCTTCGGACACGATGATGTAGGTCGGTACACTAGACACATTACCCGCTCATCATGGCTATCCCGGGTTTTTCCTGAGCTAGAGAGGCCGAGTCTACACGTAGAAGACCTGACAAGATTTTTGAATAATAAAGATGGTTTTACTCGGATGGATGACGTCGACGTTGTCCGAGTATGCCTTCTAATTCTTTTGCATGCCGGCTTTTTAGGCAGAGAGGCCAGACAACCTATTCCAAATGATCTAATCAAATTGGTAGAAGACCTAAATGCGTGGAACCTGTTTCCGTGGGGCTCGTATTTATGGAAAGCTACATGGAATAAGTTATCGTCTGCATTGGATGATCGAAAAAGTTTGCATGGCGATGGTTCCAAATACACTTTGACAGGCTTTATTTGGGCCTTTAAGGTAAGAATTTTTATATGATGTTTCCAAAATTATAAGTAATTATTTAACAATTACTAATGTTTGTTATTATATTGTTTGTAGATTTGGATATTTGAGGCCTTTCCCGCCATGAAGACATATGCAATAAAAACTTCAAATGATATTCCCAGGGCTATTTCCTGGAAGAGGAAACAAACCTTGCAATGGGAAGATTTACTACGGTATACGACAATAAATAATGTAAGTTAACATAAATACTACCATATGTTTATAAACAAGTTATTACTAGTACACGTTTA